AATAATATTATAATGATAAGATTCTCTTGAATTACACGATTACATTTCCCCCAAAAAATATTGAAAATGTTAATAATTATCATACCACACATAACAGATTAAACATTGATTAAAATGGTCACGAGCTGTAATTATGGCGGCAGAATCTGTGTAAATGACCAGATATTACAGTGTCAGCAGACGACAAAATGTTCGAAAATTTGGAGACAACGTGTTGTTACTGAGGTGAGGGCGATCTATCTTAGGTGACAATGTTAATTCATTAAGGAACATAGAGGTGTTTACATGACGACACTTTTTCGGCAGGTGCTTTTTGAAAATGCTAAAAGCTTTTTAAATACCGTTACTAAGTAGATTTTACGATAGCAACAAAAAAATTATCACTAGATTATGAAAATGTTGATAATTTTTGGACAGCACGCGTGCCTATGGCGCCACTTCAAAGTGGGCCCTTATCAAAACTCGACAAATATTGCCTGATGTTAGCCATGGAGGTGCTACTTGATACCGGCGCGTGACTAGGCCCCGCCCTCGTATATTCTTAAAAACTTTCAACATTATTCATATGTACCACTCCGCCATCTGTCCCTTAGCTTAATTTTAATAACAGCCTGGCTCAACTGGCGCATGGCGCTTTGAAGTAGGGCCGATGCAAGGAGAGAATACCAACAACCCTATTTTACCTGATAATTCTTTTCTTTTGATCAATAACAAGAGATTATATGGGTCGAATAACGGTGTTTAACTGTTAAATTTTGACAAACATTTGTCTCTGAGTGTTTAAAACGGTCACATGACCTGCGCCATCTGAAATCACCATCTGTCAATAAATTCCAATCTTCACCGAAGAAAAATATTTGTATTTGATTTTGACTTTTTCAGAGTATCTTAAAAAAATGTTGTGAAAGCGAGTGAGAATAGAGAAAATGTTCATCTGCTTTTCAGGAAATGATATTAAGTCTCGATTTTTGTTGTATCATTTGTATAAAATGTAAGTCTCTAGATTTATGTAGCATAGTATGATACAATAGGACGTGGAATATTTACATTAAACATTCGACCACATTACTTTGTATAAGCGAATTTGCGTATATAAGCATGATTTTACTCATTCTGTTATTGAAACCTACATCAGGGTATTCCAAACAGAAATATTTGAACCCTGATTACATCCAAATTTAAAACAAAGCTGACCGACCTTTAGGGTAAAGCGGTCATGCAGTTGCCTTCCACCCGTGTTTTACGACCAGATAATCATCTAAGGTCGGCCATCAGTACATGGACAAAACTACCATAATTGGTCAAGCAAATGGCATTATCTAGTGATAACTTCAGCTAAATTGATTATTTTAAATTAATATAGCTCAGAGCATTGGCTGTTCAGTTTTCGACCAGAGTTCAATTTAAAACAGGCGATCTATAAAGTTAAATATATAAGTGTATTTAATGAAAAGTACTTTCTTAAATATTAATTTATCAAGGTCTTCTTAATTGACATTACGTTACAATAAATATATAACGAACATGTATTAGTTAAAAGTGTCTCACAGAAATAAATTGTATACTTTCTTTGTTTTTCAATTTTCAAATTTTTTACTGATAAATGAGAGTCGCTTTTTTCAATTTCACCAACTTTGCTTACTTGAAAAGAATGTACCTGATGGTCATGAAACATTCATTTCCTATCGCATTTAGTATATATCTTCTCTAGCATAAAAAAGTGGTTGGTGTCCAGCTTTGATCAACGCACGGAAATACATTACTTTGTAATATAAAATCTCTGATCTAAACGATTTAATATGATTGGATACCAACTAAAAAATATATAAAAAAACAGCATACACATCGTAATATGTTTGACGGCTGTCGCGTGCGACTCGTATACATGCTGTTTACTTAGTTCGCATATTTTTGTTATTAGCTACTTTTTAAATTAAACTTTAATAGTTTTTATTGACTTATCAATCAAACTATTGACCCAAGACGATGTTATATCTTACGGCCTCACTCTTTGATGTTTTATCAAGATATTGTCGTGAAGCAATTATCAAGGCAACATAATTCATAACATTGAACTTATTTACTTAATCAGAAATAATAACACATATGTCTCCAAAACCAACCCTATAAGATACTTTAATTGATAAAATTTAAGTCCCTTTTCTTGATTCTGATTGGTCAGATTTCAAAGCAGCTGGCGAGGGTCGCGTGCCTGATAGTTGAGCACCTGTCTCTGACGTCACGATAATCATGCGCACGCGACTTGAGAAGGTTCGCAGAGCCGTGAAACTTATTTACACCTTTCGTACCTTTTTGAATAGCATGAACCCCCAATTGACGATTGATAAATAATTTTTCGCACCATGTGTTATTGTAGATTTCAATAGATTTTCCGAAGAATCGCACTTGTCCTTAGAGATGGCACTGTTGGCGATTTATTTTTGGTCTCGGCGACCTTCCGACGCCAGTGTTGAAGGACAGTTGTCGCTAATGAGACCCCGGCTTCAATACAGCTGTTCCTATTATATAAGATAAGTGAATTTTTCACTAATTAAAGCTTTACATTTGAATTATTCGACAAACCAGAAACCTAAAGATCTTACAAAGTCGGTCAAAATTACTAACTTTCAATTTTACCTATCTAAAACATACATAGATAAAACCTGGGACAAAAGATCTTCTGTCCCAGATAAAACTAGGGGATAGAAAATAGTAATTTGCAATAGGAACTGCATGTTTCATCACATACAAAATGTCATTATGATAGGGGGTTTCAAAATTTGAATAAATCGACGTTTGCAAGTGCGCCAGTTATATTATATTTCCAAATAGAAGTGTTTATTTTAGAAATGCTGACGGCAGTTTTCGAGATTTTAAAAAGGGGGCCTGGGAAGAGTGACAGCTGGGAAACCAGGGTAACTAAGGCCAAGATGTTAGTGATCACTGTTCCTATGTTTGTGAAACCGCTTAAGATTCAATCCGAGTACCAGTTTTATCTTTATTTTCTGTCAAACCCCTCACGAGGACACATAGAGAAGTATCATTATAATTCAAGTTTCAATACTTGTTATAATATACAAGTACCAATATTGACTTTAAAAAAATATATTAATTTCAAAGGCATAAAATACATGATATTGTTAGTTTGAAAAAAGAAGAAAAGATTTCATCGATGTATCTTATTTTTATGTTAAATTTTAAGTAGATTTATGTTTTTTGTCACAATAAATAAACGGACAAAAAAGTAATAAAATTAAATAAAAACAAGAAAATATTGATTTGTTAAGTCGTGGGAAAGTAAACGTCATTGAAATGTGTGCACGCGTCCGATTGTGTCAGTCAGGTTTAAAACGCACGTGCGTTTTAGAAGTGTCGCGCGCGCATTCATTATGCAAATCAGGCGGTCGCGTGTCATACCCGATCATGTGACTCTTGTCATATCTCTGTGATATAAAACTGGTCCTGCAAAACACAATTAAAACGGTAATCCATGTCAGGTTTGCTTCCTTTCACACTGACATTATAGATACTGAAATGAAGCCCCTGTGTGACCCCCCGAGATATCATTAAAGGTAGTCTGCCCCTCTTTGACCCCTGAGATATCATAGAAGTAGCGTATGAAGCAAAAGACATAAAACAGCAAATTTAATTAAAGATTAACTAGAAGTTATCTTATGAATTAATTGGTGAGACAACAACCGTTTCGTTTTCCAGTAGCAAGATAAGATATCTTTTCAAAATACAGATGTTTCTTATAATCTCCAAAGTAACCCTTCTTTTTATACAAAACAATGCTGCAAAGAGAGAAGATAAAAATATATATATATCTTAGTTTGAATCAACTTAAACACATTTCCTTTACTTAAAAGCTTAACGTTTAAATTAGAGTTATATTTTAGTACTTATATGTCATTTAGACCTAGTCTTAACAGGAGCGTAAGAGTTGTCGTTCTTTGACATCCACGTTTATTTTCAGCGTGTCCTGCTTATTCGAAAGAGACGCCAATTAATCACTGTACGGATCGATAAAGATGAGGATTCCCTAACGATTCTGAAATTTCCAAGTTTCTGATCAGAGCAGAATAAATGATTCTGGTGCGTTTAAATCTTACCAGCATGCATATATACATGTATATATATTGTACACATTTGAAGAGGATAGGTGTAAAATAAAATTCTGTCATCATGTACCTTTCTTTGGAAGATTTAAAATTAACTTAAAAAATAACATCAAAAAACTAAATTATTTCTAAAATAGCATTTATAAAATCGTGAATGGCATTATTTTGTTCGAAAGAGAAAAAAAAATCTGATAAATATTCGCCCTGTTAAAGTATTTTGCTAACATGTACAGCTACATATGATTACATATGTTACACTAAGTTTGTATTAATTAAACCTTTAATAGGCGTAAAAAAGTTACTACAATTTTAAATAAATTGACTAATTGTACATTACATTACACCGTACGAAAACTGTTTAAACCACGCATAATTTTGTTTGTTATTTAAATATCCTTTCGTATAGGATTTTCTGATCTTTATCACTTGCCGATGATCTCATCTCTTCAAAACCTTAAACATACTCCGTTTTGTGTATATAAACACTAAACATAGATAGGTAGGTATAATTATTCACCGTACCACCCACGAAAAGGTATAAGTGTGGGGACTTGTTACAGAATTTCCGATCCCGAAAATGTTTCAAACCTTTAAATTTAGTGTTTGACTATAAACGAACCGCTGCAGCCAAAGTAATAGCAAATTTTCTTCAAATATTCTCTAATGGAAGCCATCTGTCGAGTTTCTGACAAAAATCAGTAATTTGTTTGAAATTCAAAGTCACTGACCTACTTTAAGACAGTTCGCACAGCAACAGAATTAGCCCCGCCTTATTATTCGTTAGTCAACTCTGCACATTTCCGAAACTCCGCCTCCAGTGTAAATGATTGGTCTATTCCCACGTGACAAATGTAGCGGTATAAATACCGCGTTTTTCCTCCGGTAGAGTAAAATAGAACTCTCACGTCTTCCGAAAATCATATTGATAAGCTGTTTCTCAATTAATAAACCTTCAGAACGAAGGTGCTGTGATTTATTCAGGGATATTTACTCAGAGATTTAATTTTACTTTGGATTTAATGTATTAACAAAGTGAAGATGGTACCACAAAATAGCCCAAGTGCCTCGAGCGATTATAGTGACGATGGCTTGAACAATAATCAATCAGTAATGTTTGGATCACAACTGATAAATCCAAACACTATTACTCCATATTCGGATGCTACAATGTGTAAGAAAGCGACAAATCATGTCAAACGACCTATGAATGCGTTTATGGTCTGGTCACAAATAGAACGAAGGAAGATTTCTGAAGTAGCCCCGGACATGCACAACGCCGAAATCAGTAAACAGTTGGGTGCTCGTTGGAAATTACTTGATGAAAATGACAGACAACCTTACATCGAAGAAGCTGAAAGATTACGATTATTACACATGCAGGAATATCCAGACTATAAATACAGGTTAGTACAGTTTCCGTTATTAAGTTAACACCTAAATGCGTTTTACTTTCATTTCACAGCTGACTGACCTAATTTCACGTTAGAGTTTATCGACTGTAATACAACGATCGTATTTCTACACGATCGTGTGTTTTATGAGTACTTGCCTACTTGGAGTGTTAGTATCCGATATATTCTTTAATTTCCTTGCTAAATTTTGATGTAGATAGACGAGGAATAAAAATAAAAAACCTTTGATGTGTGTTTCACTTTTTATGTAGAATATAATGTGTATGATTTTTTTGGTTTTTACATTTAGATATATATATTTTATATTTAATAATGTTTCATTCTTAATTATTTCAGACCAAGGAAGAAGGCCAAGCCAGCAGGGGCAAAAACAGAAGTTGCAAAAGGCAAAGTCACTAAGCCTGTGTCAAAGTCAAAAAATGACAGAAATCGTTATCAAAAGACCACCTCAGCTGTAAAAGCAGCCTTATCAACGCCATCCCAGTATACGACCAGTACCTTACACTCCAGTAATACTCAAAACAGCCGGCTCAAACTGAAACTGACAATCGATGAAAAATTCAAAGAGTGTATTCGTGCCAGTAAAAATATTCAGGTACCATCCTGCCAACTTACACCACCGGGTAAAGTTCCAGCCAGCCCAGAATATACACCCATGACCCCCGAGTCAACATTTTACCCAGAGGATCATTACGATACCCCAGCACCCTCCCCTCAAGAAGAGGTTGGAGTTATTGTGAAAACGGAATATCATATCAATAATAACTGTATACAGCAGCCCGAAGGCTCGTCTCTCGCAGATCTGGATAATCTCACTGACATTCTTCAAATGCCCACAAATTGGCAAATGGATATTGAAAATATGGATTTAAGTAAACTCGCAGACACTGACTTTCCAAATTTTGACACAAACATTCAACCAGTGCACAATAATATTATTACAAGTATGGTACATTCAACGTCAAGTGCGATAGTCCAAAATAGTGCTACAGTCATTCTAAACACAAATCCATCGTCACATTTCGAATTTCCAGATTACTCCACAGCTGAAGTTTCAGAAATGATTGGACTTGAAAACGAGTGGCTAGAAATATCAACTCTGCTCACTAGACATTATTGAACAGCTCAAATCATTGTGTAATTTCCAATATTAATATTAATAGAGATGTTTTGACTGTTCATACACACAAAAAAGTTATTATTATTTACGGGATTATGTGCAAGATACTATACTGTTGACTGTGAATTATATTTGATGCATTTTCGTTGATGGATAAGAGATTTTAACTGTTCACCTCAGAGTTTCTAACTTAAGTGATTGAAATTTTGCCTTTTTTTATACTTAGTGGACCATTATTTGATACGGCAGGAGTTAATGAACTTTGTATGAAGATGTAAATATGTAAATAATCATATGACAATATATGTATATTTTGTTACAATGAAGTGAGGTGAACTGTCAAATTAATAGTACAAAGAGAGAGAATATTTATGTTATAAATACACTGTTGTGATTTTCATTTTTATCGAAGGGCGATTACTATATGGAGGTGGTCAGAAATGGTCATCTTACAGGTTGATTTATCGAATTATGCATTGAATTTACCAAAGTTGTTCAGAATAGGAAATGATATATGTTCAATATATATGATTATGTTCACAATATAACACAGTAGAGTAGAATGTGTGATCAAATGTGTAATCTATTATTGTACGCAATATTTAGTCAAAATTTTATATTATGTATTTTTGTCTTCTCTTACAAGTGTCACATGATTTTCTATGTCCAATCACATTCTCATGTTTTGATATTCCAAACTCAGATATATGTATTGTATTTTGATACAGACTATAGTATATAATGATGTATGTTTTTTTAAGATATATTTTCATACCAAACATTTTTTTTATACATTTACAAAATGTAGTGTAACTGATTTAAAGTGATTTTGATAGAATCTAGGGAAAATGTTGTGCAAAGTTTAAAACTTAAGTAAGCAATTTGATAACTGCCACTTAAATGAATTTCTTTAACAGATTGCCTGATATAGAACTAGTAAATACTGATATAGTCTAGAAAACATGCAATATTTGAGGTACATGCATTTATTAAAAGTGATAACAAAATGCATTTTTTTTTAAAGTATCACTATACACTTGTGAATTTTGTCTCAAAATGTTGTTTTTGACAGAAATTGTCCTTACTTGTGCTAATATATATCAAACTTATCCATGTACATATTCATTGTAAATATCTATTTATGTCATTCATCAACGAAATACATTCATGTTAAATATTTATGAGATGGTACAGTAGTGTCACTGTGCGAAATGAAAATGCTGAAACGGTTTGTGCGATATTTGCCTTACATAATACTTTGTATCAATGTCTGTGAAATTTCCACTAAACTGAATGAAAAAAACCTACAATTTTGTTTGTTATATATTGTTTGTTTACATTTTACTATCATACCCACGTGTTTATTAATGAGACTCCGCCCACCTGTCAGTAATATAGGTAATTGGCAGGTAAGGACTAAAACCTGCTTCATTTACACCTGTTGTGTACAGTGTACCGAATGACTGGTTAAAATACAATGTTGCACTCCGTTAAATGTTGAAGAGCAATATTGTTCAACTATTCATAGATTATTAATTCGCACTAAGTTCAGATATAATACATAAAAAGTGTTACACAGAACTAATAGGCGCCTCTACTGACTAATGAAATAATATCTGTTAAACTTGTGCACTGAAATAACGCTACCAAAAGCCCACTGTTAAGATTAGTTGTATTTTGTCATGAAAACCTGGCGACTTCACATACACAAGTATAAATTAAGTATATCAGTTTCCGCTACTTTACGAAAAACTTGTGTAAGAAGGCGACACCAAAATTTTGTACGATATTTTCTAGATTATGCGTGTTTACATAACAATTGAGATTTTCATCTACAACTTGTGTAATCTTAATTCTCGAGATATCTCGGTCATATTACTGAGAAAACACGAGGAATGTTATCTTAAAGACTTTTAAAATTCTCACCAATATGTTGACCAATGCTTTACATGCCGAGGTACGGAGTTTAGCCCGCGGGGGTACGATAACGTAATAGTCAATAAACCTGGGGATTTAGATGTACCATGTGATCAGCTGCAATTGACATTCCGCGTCATTTTACACTTCATTAGATAATATTATGTAATATATTTGTATATGCTATCACTACAATTTACAACCCTTTTGAGAATGTGGCAAAGCTATGCTAAACAAATTACTCGGTATGAATGCATTATATTTAAATGCAATGTTTTGTGTAAATCCTTCAATTACATGTTTTCTATCCCGCCAAAAAAACCTCTCGCAAATTAAATATGTCAGGTATGTGCTGGTCCATTAAATTATTTAAATGAGGAAAGAGTTCAGGGATTGTGTTTCAAATTTCTTCAAATCTAGAAAAATGAGGCAGTGTAAAATCCCAAGGTACGTGAACACACGGACGAAAGGTAATTCCACGCTTCTATGCACGTAGACGGTGCAAGATTACACGGCAAGCAATAAACTGTCTCGAAAGTAAAATTCGTTGATAAAGAGAGTAGATTTTACAACGGATCCCTGCAATCTAGCGAAGAGGTTTGACCCCAACGACCGGGAGATATTCATATTGGTGAGGAAATAGCGCAAACATTCGTGGTACTTAACTCATTTGACGGGGTCAAACTCTTGTAATTACTTTACAACATGTGCACTTCGCTTACCCGCAAGTGAATCTACCTCGCCTTGAAAAGCAAACTATTTGCTACATAAATATAACTTAACTTATAATAAATCTTAACTTATAAATCTTAAACATTCCCAGCGTAACAATTATTTAAAATGCTCAGTATATTCAAATAAATCGGGTTCAATTTCTTTAAACATCTATTTGAAATTATATATAAACTTCTATTATGTTAAATTGATGTTTCAATAACGCATAAAGTTAAACTATTCTTTTCACTTACAGCGTTTTAAACATTAAACTACCACATATAACATGTGAAAACAGCTCCTATTTTATAACCATATGCAAACCATAAAAAAAAGTTTTTTTTCTTCTTAAGCTGTATTTGCACATACAGATGTATGACATAATTACAATGTAATACAGTGCCATCAAGTACACTCAATAACCGCTTCCTACTCATTGAAAATACTAGCTTGTTGACAAACAACATTATAAATATTAATCATGCATCATGAAAACGTGTTTGTGAGTGTAACATAGCACAAACGGTATTTAACATCAATACTCGTAAAACTGAACTACACTCCGTAAACGTTTAGCACATATTGAACAAGTTATTATCATAATTCAGCATCCGCAATCCTTAATCCCCAAGGTAAACCGTTCCCAACAAATCCCTACCTCGGTACAACTGCCTAGCCGGAAAACAAAACCAAACAAATTACCCCCAAAAACATCACTTCTCAGCACTATTTAAAACAAAAATCTTCCAGCTGGTATGCGTCTTAAATCGTTTAAACTTTGAAAATGTTACGAAATTCAAGATTTTGACAAACCATGCATTTACTGATGAACTTTTCCTCTGATCTAATATTCACATTCACCATTCATCTTTTATTGCAAGTATTAATTAGCTAGCAATTTTCATTAATTAACGTGTTAATTAATTAGACCACACCTGTGATGTGCCAAAATTGTTAGAATAATAGATTGATTTACTATGAATTATATAGCTGTAGAAAATATTTATTACCTAACTTGTGTGATAAGGAACTTCTTTAGTATTAACTATTTTGTGTACTAAAAACCATAAGTTTATTTTCAGATACTAAGGTAAAATTGATAGATCTTAAAGCAGTTTAAAGTTGTCATTTTAGAGACACGTTGACGGAATAAATAACGTTTAATTTGAATTGTGTCTCGAATTGTCTAAACATCTTTATTTCACCCGTGTCACAAATAGCCAACGGTCAAGGATTGAATGGTATCGCGAGCATTTCATGTGCAGTCTACATGTAGCTTATGTACAAGCTATCGTAACTTGTCAATTTTATATTTTCAGTTTATGATCAAAAATGCGTATAGATCTGTCGTCAAATGTATGGCTGTAAAACATTAAGGTTAACAAAAAATAGTCTTATATAACTTGAGGAAACTGAAATTTGTTCATTTGCATCACGTATGCAAATATTTCGATTTTGCGTTTTAAAAAGCCACGCAGATGCTACATGAGCAACTATAATTTTTGTCAGTTTTTACTTCTTTGGTAATTAAAAAGGTTTTCCCCTTCTGTCATCGTCTTACTGCACTAAATATATATTTTTGATAAAATGTGCATGTTATTTAAAAGGTGTTGAAAAGTTGATAACTTAACGTCAGAGTGCACGGAACTGTTTATTTGGCACGCGTAAAACTGGCATGTTGCGATGTAAACACATAAACATGTTCATGAATATCATATAAATAAATACAATATCTGTATCTTATTTGACACTCGCTTGATTGCCGATGATTGGTGCCAAAACTTATTGATAGGTGTTATCACGTGCATTTAGTTAAAACTTGGTGTACCTCCTGTCCCACTTAATGAAACCAATCTTCGGACATAAGGTCTTTTCAATTGTAATTATTTATTACTAGGCCTAAAACTGTTTGACATACATAAGGTGAAGATTAAAAGAAACTATGTTTTCACACGTACGAATGGCAGATGTGCGTTTAAAATACTTTCTTATTTACTAACATCGGTTTGTTTTGATGTTTGTAGATATAATCTTATTCAGTGTTTATCAAGTTTAACAGGTTTAATTATCAATTAACGCCCTTGGTATTTTACTGTTTTATGTCAATATTGTTCTACTTAAAAACGATAAAACTTAAAGTGCAGGATGGGTGAAGGATATTTTAATATATTCATAAAAAAATGCAAGCGTTTACACTAGCATCCCTCTAGCTACTGCGCACTGAAATATTACGCAATAATTACAAAAAAAAAACCACTAATAACTAAACGCGTTGGCGTTTATAAACATATTAATAAACTGATAATTACGGCAATTAAGCAAATACTGTCGGTACAGAATTCTTGGAATCCAAGAGAGACTACTCGGCG